TTTCCTTCCATCTCTTTATTTCTTCGTTTGCATCAAATGTGCGCCGTGATCAGGAAGACGTAGAATACGTTGAACAGTTGGACTTCATCAAAATAATTATTTGAATGAAATGTATTTGGCGATTTTTTCAAAAAGTTTGTCTGTTCATTCATCCACCCATTATTTTACCTCTTTCCGGAAAACAAATGTCCGACTTTAAGACATTAAAAACTGTTTAAACCGTCATAAATGCGAGTTGTGTCTTTTTGCAGAGTATAATTATTGCTTTCTGGGAATCAAGTGAATTTTCTGGTCTTTCATTTCCATTTCAGATACACATTGAATCAACGACTGTTATATTCTCTTATAAATAACATTGAATTGAGACACTTTTTGAAGTTACATAATCTTTAAAATGCGACAGTTTGTCTTATATCAACTGTCAGTGGTTACAAATAAATTATAAAATGGTATTACTCACGATCGTTCCCTATTTGATCTTTTCTTCTCCCTGCTAATGAACTATTTAAATGGTTTTACTCCGTGGATAACATTTAAGCCAGTCAACGGAGCTTGTACTTGTCATAGATGTATTTATCATAGATCTCAGCATTCCCCTAAAATTACCTGTTATTACCTGTCAAATTGATTTTAGTTTCTAGCTAATTAATAAAAGCAAGGTTGGCGATAGTCATCCTCTTGCAGAAACTAAATATCTTTTCTATTTAATAACTAATCTGATAATTTGTTGTCGTTCCTGACCTTGGTACGAATAGGCCCTTTAGTTTATTAACGGCAGCAGTACCATCAATTGAGCAGATACATCTTCCGACATCTATAAATATTTCCTTCAAATAGAATGCAATGAAGACATGAGCCCTATTGTAATACTACCAATTGTACACTGCCAATCGTATTTGCAGGAATTTTGGATTGCTTATTATGCTATCATTCGTTATCACTAAATATTTGATTGTATTGACAGTAATGTAAGTTAAAGTATTTGCTGTTATCATATTAGTCATTCAGTTTACATATCTGTTAATATTTTCTTTCACTTTCAGTACAATATTATCAATTACTGAAACGAATGCACGAGTAACTGTACTAACTCTTCAATCGTTCGTTCGCAATTTCGGACGCGAAAACGTAAGTTTCAAACCTTAAAGTGTCACATATTATAAGCATTATTGTTCATTTAAGCATCAAACTTTTTTAGTGAAAATTTGTTTTATATTTTAAGTCTCTGAACAACAATGCCAACGGAATACAGACATTCAGTTTTTCTGGATTTGGCACAGGAAGAAATCAAACTACTTCAGCTCCACCGACTACTGCTAACCCATTCTTACAGCTTCTTGAACTTTATCTCAGGGGTTTCTCTCAAGTGCCAACGGCTGGTGCAGGCTTCCCGTCTTTTCCTCAAGTGCCAAGTGGAGGCTTCCAATTTCCTCAATATGGTTATCCTTATTACCCATACTACGGTGGATATGGTTACTACCCCTATTCCTATTACTATTATTATTATGGATAATTGTTTTACTTCCTCCAAATGTCTTTGTATCACTGTGCAGACTTTAAAGTTCCAAAATTTATGCAAAACTTTGTTCGATGTTTTGTTCTATAACAAGTTATTAAACAGATTGTGAATTGAATCAGTGTTAAAAGTATATCGAAAATCTGTGCTGCACAATTA